CATAGCCCGTGCTACTTGCCCCGCTCCTGTGCCAGGTAAGTCCACTACGGGCTCACCATAGCCCGTGCTACTTGCCCCGCTCCTGTGCCAGGTAAGTCCACTACAGGCTCACCATAGCCCGTGCTACTTGCCCCGCTCCTGTGCCAGGTAAGTCCACTACGGGCTCACCATAACCCGTGCTACTTGCCCCGCTCCTGTGCCAGGTAAGTCCACTACGGGCTCACCATAGCCCGTGCTACTTGCCCCGCTCCTGTGCCAGGTAAGTCCACTACGGGCTCACCATAACCCGTGCTACTTGCCCCGCTCCTGTGCCAGGTAAGTCCACTACGGGCTCACCATTGCCCGTGCTACTTGCCCCGCTCCTGTGCCAGGTAAGTCCACTACAGGCTCACCATAGCCCGTGCTACTTGCCCCGCTCCTGTGCCAGGTAAGTCCACTACGGGCTCACCATTGCCCGTGCTACTTGCCCCGCTCCTGTGCCAGGTAAGTCCACTACGGGCTCACCATAGCACCCTATGTCCCTGTTCCTAGCAGTAAAATAGGTACCTGGGAGTTAGTCAGCTGTCACGGGCTGCTTCCTGAGGGTGGAGGCCTGGTCGAGGACCGGGCCGCGGGGACACTAAAGCCCCGAAATCATCTCAAGATAACCTCAAGAAAATAGTGAATATAGTGAAGTATTGGTAGTCACCTCTACTTCAAGGTGAGGCGTGAAAAAGATACAAGTATCTGTAGAGATAAAACACAAGTGGGAGAGATAGAAGTGGTGGTGATGGGTCTGTGATGAAGCAGCCGTCCAGCTGAGCGACTCCAGCTCTCATCTTACGATGACCTCTCATCTTACGCTCACCTCAACATACGATATGTCGCTGCGCATCTCTACCGGCAGATGTTGCCACAGGCGCCAGACTCAGGTGTTAGAGGGGCTCCCGGCGCCATTGTTAAGAGGGAAGGGTGGACGGTTCAGTACCTTAACCCGCGGGTGTTGACCACGGGTGTTGACCGCAGGTGTTGACCACTGGTGCTGCCCGCCGCTGAACCCTCCCAGGCTTCGTCCGGTTACGTGTTAATCCTCTTATGAAGTTTGTCTCCAGCAGCCCCTATGGTGCTGGCTGTGTGGCCCGGAGCTCCACACGCCCCCGGGGCTCCACACGGCCCCGGGGCTCCACACGGCCCCAGGACAACATGTGTCCCGGGGCTCCACACGGCCCCGGGGCTCCACACGGCCCCGGGGCTCCACACGGCCCCAGGACAACATGTGTCCCGGGGCTCCACACGGCCCCGGGGCTCCACACGGCCCCAGGACAACATGTGTCCCGGGGCTCCACACGGCCCCGGGGCTCCACACGGCCCCAGGACAACATGTGTCCCGGGGCTCCACACGGCCCCGGGCAACATGTGTCCCGGGGCTCCACACGGCCCAGGGCAACATGTGCCCCGGGGTTCCACACGGCCCCGGGCAACATGTGTCCCGGGGCTCCACACGGCCCAGGGCAACATGTGTCCCAGGGCTCCACACGGCCCAGGGCAACATGTGTCCCGGGGCTCCACACGGCCCAGGGCAACATGTGCCCCGGGGCTCCACACGGCCAAGGGCAACATGTGTCCCGGGGCTCCACACGGCCCAGGGCAACATGTGCCCCGGGGTTCCACACGGCCCCGGGCAACATGTGTCCCGGGGCTCCACACGGCCCAGGGCAACATGTGTCCCGGGGCTCCACACGGCCCAGGGCAACATGTGTCCCGGGGCTCCACACGGCCCAGGGCAACATGTGCCCCGGGGCTCCACACGGCCAAGGGCAACATGTGTCCCGGGGCTCCACACGGCCCAGGGCAACATGTGCCCCGGGGCTCCACACGGCCCAGGGCAACATGTGCCCCGGGGCTCCACACGGCCCCGGGCAACATGTGTCCCGGGGCTCCACACGGCCCAGGGCAACATGTGCCCCGGGGCTCCACACGGCCCCGGGCAACATGTGTCCCGGGGCTCCACACGGCCCAGGGCAACATGTGTCCCAGGGCTCCACACGGCCCAGGGCAACATGTGTCCCGGGGCTCCACACGGCCCAGGGCAACATGTGCCCCGGGGCTCCACACGGCCAAGGGCAACATGTGTCCCGGGGTTCCACACGGCCCAGGGCAACATGTGCCCCGGGGTTCTACACGGCCCCGGGCAACATGTGTCCCGGGGCTCCACACGGCCCAGGGCAACATGTGTCCCGGGGCTCCATACGGCCCAGGGCAACATGTGTCCCGGGGCTCCACACGGCCCAGGGCAACATGTGCCCCGGGGCTCCACACGGCCAAGGGCAACATGTGTCCCGGGGTTCCACACGGCCCAGGGCAACATGTGCCCCGGGGTTCCACACGGCCCCGGGCAACATGTGTCCCGGGGCTCCACACGGCCCAGGGCAACATGTGTCCCGGGGCTCCACACAGCCCAGGGCAACATGTGTCCCGGGGCTCCACACGGCCCAGGGCAACATGTGTCCAGGGTACCTGATGTCAGACATCTGCAGGAGCTGAAGGAGGCATTTGAGCAGAGTTCCGTGCTGCGTTTCACTTACGAGATGGAAAAGGATGGGAAGCTGCCCTTTCTAGATGTAACAGTCATGGAAAAGAGCGGAGGTTTCCACACTGCAGTCTACACTAAGGAAACGAACATAGGAATGTGCCTAAATGCCAACAGCGACTGCCCAGACAGGTACAAGAGGAGTGTTGTTAACGCATATGTCGACCGTGCTCTCAGCCACAGCTCAGAATGGAAGCAAGTCGACGAAGAACTCTGTAGGGTAAGGCAGGTCCTAGTCAACAACGGCTTCTCCAATGGTTTCGTCGAAGACATCATAAGAAGGAAAGTGAAACGCCATGCAACCTCTGAAGAGACAACTAATACAACACCTATACCCCCTATTAGACTATTTTACAGGAACTTCTTTTCCACAGCTCATAAAACGGAGGAAAGGGTCCTGAAAGATATTGTTAATAGAAACGTTATCCCTACAGACAAAAATCAGAGGATACAACTGACGATTTAACATAAAACCAGAAAAACGGCCAGCCTACTCATGAGAAACTCTCCAGACACAAAGCAGAACGCTTTAAAAGAGACCAACGTCGTCTATGCCTTCAAATGCCCACTTGGGGACTGTAAGCTCCAAAAAAACCAGTATATAGGCAAGACAACAACATCTCTTTCTAGGCGTTTAACGATGCATAAGCAACAGGGCTCCATTAAGGAACATATAATCTCTTCCCACAACCAAATCATCGCCAGAGAAATCCTAGTAAACAACACAGAAATCATCGATAGATACAGCGATAGCAGACGGCTTGACGTTTGCGAGGCACTGCACATTAAGAAGTCAACACCAGCAATCAACAGCCAATTAATGCACAACTATATTCTACCCACCTCAAGACTCCGCTCCAATATAGAAGCATCAAGAAATATGGACCAATAGGCTTTCTACAATCACTTCCATTTCAATACCCATTGTTTCGTGTTCTGTCTTGTGTTGATGAAATTAATACCCTTTTAAATACCACCTCACCACATCCACCTCACTCAAATGTAGATATAAACAAATCGGAGATATGTAAGTTCTATTCAGTTGTGTATGTGTAAAGTCTTTGAAAATGTAATAAGTTTTACGAAACGCGCTCAAGTGTCGCGTCAGACTAGAAATAAAAATGAATTTTGGAGAATTGATTTTTGAATTACCTCCAACAGTGAAAAGAAATGTACGAAAGATTGAGAAAATTCGTGTTAGAATTATTAATCTTACTTTTTCGGTCATATTTAATAATATATGTCTACAGGAAAGACTGCTACCAAAATATACTAATATATATATATATATATATATATATATATATATATATATATATATGAACGGAGACCATTCAGGCTTGTTCGCATATATATATATATATATATATATATATATATATAAAGGCGTACCTGTTATGCCAGTTGCTGGAAGGCTTCTGTGCTGGCTAGGGTTCGAGTCTCCTGGTAGGAAAGTGTTCTAAAGTTGTGTAATATATATATATATATATATATATATATATATATATATATATATATATATATATATATTACACAACTTATTATTGTAATATATATATATATATATATATATATATATATATATATATATATATATATATATATATATATATATATATATATATATGCAGAATAACCACATATGAAAAATAGAAAATGCTAGCATTTTCTATTTTTAGCATTTTCTATTTTTCATATGTGGTTATTCTGCATACTTGGATCAGTGTTTTTGTGATCATTGTTGCATATATATATATATATATATATTACAATATATATATATATATATATATATAATATATATATATATATAATATATATATATATATATATATATATATATATATATGAACGTGCATATAACATTAATACTAGTGTAACTAGCGTCAAAAGATTGCTATAAGCTTAGTTAAACGAACTTCATTCATTACTTCGAACTTCATTACTCATTCCCGGGTAAACGCTGGCGGGGGCACGAGCACTGTTGAACAATATCTGGTTTACTTTCGTGTGCACTTGACACCACATGGCCTAGCTGCTGCTCGTCAACTGATAACTACAAGGAGACTCCATATGTCATAACTCACAAGTGAACTTCAACAGGAATCAACCGTAAATAACCAATTTTCATTGTGCCTGCCGCTCGACGACCCCTGTTGCCAGACGTACATCATACGCCTTAACCACCTTTACTACCAATCTCCACGACCCCTCCTCTGTAAACATTACCAAGTATCTACCACCGTAATGATGCCCATGCATGGCACCAAGCAGGGTAAGGGTGCCTCTCGCTCACCGTCCTTGACACCAAGGGATATAAACAGAACAATGGCACCGCCGGAATCGTCGCCGTTGTTGATAAACAGAAGACCTGGCGCTACCCTCCCTCTCAACACCTGCCTACGTCTTCACTCAAAGCTCAGGCTGGGGAATTCATCCAATCTATGCTTCCCTGTACCGACTTCAAGCCATTACGGAAAAACCCATAGCTGTAGAAATTACAGAACCTGGTGCTTCGGTAATCTGAAGCAACTGATGACCTCCAAGCTACAGTCTCAAAACATCAACAAACTATAGACCGCCTCCTCCAGTCTTCCCTGACCAACGACCAAGCAATTCACAGATTACAAGCTGCAACAGATGACACATTAATACAAATAACCAATATTAAGACCAAGGGAACCCAACCTGGACACACCGACTTCATTCAAAAGCTGGAAAAGCAAATAAATTTCCTCCAGATGCACGAGGCGGCCTCTGAAGACGACCTTCAGCAACAGCAACTTCACGACTCTCTGACCAGTGAACTAATTATGTCAAAGATCAATGTCAACGTTGATATCAAATCAGCTGTCAGGATAAAAACAGTCGCCGCAGCACTAAGAGAATGCTTATCAAACTTGCTAACCCGGCTGCTAAGTCTAACCTCGTGCAATCAGCAGCTAAGCAAAGAACAAATCTTTATATAAATGAATGCCTTACCAAACAGCACGGATCCCTTCTCTACAGACTACGTCAAATTCGCAAGAAAACCCCTGCATGGTGTTATCAGTCAGTGCTACACTAGGAACGAAACAATAATTGTAAAGGATGATACCTGGTTGATGGGGTTCTGGGAGTTCTTCTACTCCCCAAGCCCGGCCCGAGGCCAGGCTTGACTTGTGAGTTTGGTCCACCAGGCTGTTGCTTGGAGCGGCCCGCAGGCCCACATATACCTGGTTGATGGGGTTCTGGGAGTTCTTCTACTCCCCAAGCCCGGCCCGAGGCCAGGCTCGACTTGTGAGAGTTTGGTCCACCAGGCTGTTGCTTGAAGCGGCCCGCAGGCCCACATACCCACCACAGCCCGGTTGGTCCGGCACTCCTTGGAGGAATAAATCTAGTTTCCTCTTGAAAATGTCCACGGTTGTTCCGGCAATATTTCTTATGCTCGCTGGGAGGACGTTGAACAACCGCGGACCTCTGATGTTTATACAGTGTTCTCTGATTGTGCCTATGGCACCTCTGCTCTTCACTAGAGCAGGAAAAAGATATGAAATAGTGTGACCAACAATTACTGGCCTTCTTGCATGACTGTGACATATAATAATACTAATTTATTTAGGAAAAGTACATACATAGTTGCAGAGTTACAATACAAACATTCTGTTTGATTTAAAGATAGAGGTAGTACATACAATACCTAAAGCCACTAGTACGCATAGCGTTTCGGGCAAAATCTGAAAACCAGAATCCTTCCAATGCTGGAAGTAGCGCTCGTGCGACTGAGCCTAGCCTAGCCTAGCCTAGCCTAGCCTAGCCTAGCCTAGCCTAGCCTAAGGTGCTGTTTTCTGCTCTGCCGCTCAAATAAAGTTCTCTCATCCAAAAAAGTTGCTAACTAATTCAGTATAGTTTCCATGTACTCATGTAAGCATCTACCTCAGTATCATCGTAAAATCTTACTGGTGTATATTCTTACCCTGTTAACTTTAAATTTAATTGTAATCTGATTCATATTAGTCACTTAATGGAATTAATGGAGTTAATTTTGTATTTTTTTTTTTACTTTCTTAAGTTCATACTAACTATAGGATCATAATTAAGAAATGTTTAAAGTGTTATAGTTTATTAATTAATTAAACAATTTTATAGTTTCTCTGTTATATTGTTAACTTTTAAGTTTATCCCTCTGTGTACCTGTTTCTCTTAAGTAATCTACCTCATTTTTGTTTGAGTTTAACTTTAGTAATTAACTATAGTGTAATTATATTATTAAAGTAAGCCATTGTTTTATAATTTAATTCTTATTTGCTATTACCGTCTCATTCAGTGGTCATCAGTTTATATTATTTGTTTCTTTTATTTATAGATTTGCATTTTTTCTCTTTTTTCTTCTCTGCTTACCATAAATATTTTATAATCTTAATTATTATTATTACTAGCCCTCTTATACAAACAAGTATAGACATTGAACTAAACCTCTTATCCACTATCTATGACAATCATCACTTTAATGATCAAAATTGCAGATATTTTACAGCACATGATGTAAACAATGTATTAACACATAATCACAATGTCTCTGTAATTAACTTGAACGTTAGATCCCTAGGTAAACACTTCGATGATGTTAGTGCCTTGATTGAAACTATTGACAACAAATTCTCTTTTATTATACTTACTGAAACATGGTTGAAAGAGGATACTACTCAACTCTTTAACATATGCCTAACTACTCAGCAATTCACAACTGTCGTCAACTTCAGAGAGGTGGTGGCACTGCTCTTTACTACCACCAAGAACTAACATGCTTAAAAGAAATTAGAACTAGAGACTACTGTGGGGAGTATATCTTCGCCAGCTTCAGAGTCAAAGGTGCCGAGTCTGTCCTGTCTGTGGGTGCAGTCTATAGAATTCCTAACACTGATGTGTCCGAATTCAACTCTAACCTTAGA